GGGGGGGGGGGGGGTGGGAAGAGGATGGGGAAAGTAAACCGGGGGTCAGCGAGAGAGTAGTATCACCAACGGGGGGCGAGTGGGCAACGGCGGCGAGAACATGCAACGGAGACGATTGGAGGAAGTTTGAGTGACTGACATCAGGAATGAATGTGTTGTTGAACTATCCAATGGTATGACCAGCTTTTGTTCTGTGCAGTGCGTTGTACACTTGATTCTTTCCGGCGGCGGACTATGTATGATGCTCGCCATCTCTCCGCGGCAACTGACAGCACCGACGCCCAACGCCGCTCGCAAGGCGAAAGGACGTGCAGTGGTCTCTCGCGGCCACTGCACACTCGACAGCAGCAACAACAACAACAACAACAACAGGCACCACGACTGGCTACTTACCTGCGAGGCGACCAAGTACTTCCCCTCGTTGTCTGCCCCGATCGCCGCGATAATTTCTTTGGCTGGGTCTGGCCCTTTCTCTCCGCCCCCTGCCCCTACCCCCTCCTCGTCCGATCCCGACCCCGCCCCCCCCGCTTGGTTTTCGTTCCGGGGTGGCGGGAGCCCTCTGCAGTGCCCTATTGCGAACTGTGGCGGAATTCCCGCGAGCGAAGGGAGGGCGGGAGTTGTAAAGGGGAGGGGTACGGGGGAGGGGGAGGGCTGAGTGTTCGTGCGTACCTTCTCACTTTGGAATGCATTCATCAACATTGACAAAGAGAAAACATCGTCGGAGTGCGAAAAGCAATAGATGAATCGCTCGACGGAAACTCTTGCGCCACCGTCCAACCGACGCCGTTCCTCGCCTCTCCTCGTCACGTTCACTCCTCTCAGCATCTTTCTCCGGGCTGCCAACCGGCCTAGCTACGCTGCTAAGGTGGGAGGACGAGACGCGTTCATCGTCGCGCTTCGATCGTCGAAACCTTCGTGCTTGTTCTAGACACGTGTCAGTGGCTTGACGTCGAAACTAGGGTTGACGGAAGCGTCGCAAACAAATAATTTTTTTACCGACCACGTTAACATTTCTTGCCGAAAAACGCGACTACGATACAGCTCCCGAAACCGAGTAGTCCTTCCTTGGTCCGCCCCGGCCTACTCGAAAAAAAAGAAACTCCAGAGAAAATGCGCGGCCAGAAGAGGAAAGGCTGTAACGCGTTCTGAAGAGCTTCCAAGCTACCCTGTGGGTGGGGAAGGACACAGCTTCAGAGCCCCCCGTTCTCCTCATTTTTGTCTCTTACGTTGTACGCCTTCTGGAACTCCGGTCCTAGCGCCTTGAGCTCCTCTCTCGCGCTTCGCGGGACGAACAGGTGCATCTTTGCCCCCTTCAACATTGTTGTTTTGTGTCCCCGAGCAAAACAAGGATGACATACGGGAGGGGGATTACTGGCGGATCTCGAGAGGGAGGGGTGTGTGTGTGTGCTCATAGTCGTGCATGCCGTAGTCGTTAGACCATTGACCTCGCATCCCTACAAAGCCGGGACGGAGCACGCCGGGTTCTCACCGGACCAGGCTCTCACATCACCAAGCGCGAAGCGCCGTGAGATATTCGGCGAGTCGCATGAAGGGTGCGCTGCATCCTGCTAAGGGTGTTCGGCATCTTGTGCTTACTTCCTTGCGTACGGATGACAGCTGCGTATGAATTAATTTATTTTCTGGTGCTTTCACTTCCAGAGACAGTTGTAAGCACTGTGTAACTGCCTCGAGGGTGCTAGACCATATCAACACAACGTGGTGCGATCATCCCCCATGCGCGGAGTGAGGCTTCTCCACCCCGCACAACATGATCTACTCGACCACCATTATGGTT